TAGATTGACAGAAGATTCAGAAAGAAGGCTGAGCAACTACAGCCATCTGATTCCTGACAAGGATATCCAAGACAGACGCTGTGAAGTTCCTTTCAATAGTGGTGCAGAGAAACTGTATAGCCACAGATAGAAGACTGAAAGTAGATTCCATCTCTCACCCTATAAAAAAGTCAACTCAAAATGGATGCGAAACTTCACGTAAGGCTTGAGAATTTGTAGCTACTAGGTGAAAACTTAAGAGGAACATTTCAGGATATAGGGGTAGAAGCTTTCTGAAAAGGACCCCAATAGCTCAGGCAATAAGAGCAAGGACTGATAAAAGGATTGCGTCAAATTGAAAAGACAGCCTACAGAATAGGCTGTATTTTCTCCACATAGTCATCTGTCAGACGATTGATATCTAAAGATCTCAAGACACAAAATGCCCAAATAAAATCCAATCAATAGATGTACAAAGGAACCGAACAGATACATTTCAAATCAAGAAGTAAAAATGAAAAAAATGAAAAAAGTACAAATGGCCAATAAATATATGCAAAAAAATTCAACATCCTTAGCCATGAAGGAAATGCAAATAACTCCAGTCAGAATGGCTACTATGCAGAAAGTGGCAACAAGAACGCAGGGCAGAAGGTGGAGTAAAAGGAGCTCTGGCCTCTGCTGGTGGGAGGGACCACCAGCCCCCTCACCGTGGCTCGACGGAAAGCAATATGGAGCTCCTTAAAAACTGAAAACAGAACTCCCATATAATCCATCGATACCACTTTTGGTTTGTACTATAAAGAATTAAAGTCAGCTTACCGCAGGGATACGTGCACACCCACATTTATCTCAGCATTATTCACAAGAGCTGAATTATGGAACCAGCCTAGGTAGCCATCAATGGACAGATAGATAAAGAAAACATGGCATAATGTATACAAAGGGATTTTACCTAGTCATTAAAGGGGATGAAATTATATTGTTTACTGGGAAATGGGCAGTACTGGAGATCACTGCGCTGCTTGAAATAAGCCAAGTAGCACTTGGTTTCTATCATTTGCCAGAGCTAAGAGGAAACAAAATAAAAAGAATGTCATGAAAGTAAAAGGAGGATTGTTAAGGAAGTAGGAGGGCTAGGGAAAAGGGAGAAGAGGAGTAAGGGATAAGAGTAATACAGAGAGTGAGCGTAATCAAAATACATGATATACATGAGTGGAAATGTCACGAGGAAATCCTTACGAAGTACAATTTAACACACCACAGTGAAAAACAAGCAAACCTTATGATGTAGCAAGCTGGCATTTAGACACGTGTCATAAGGACTTTATGGATCCAACTGCATCCGTACACAGAGAATCAAGTACAGAGACGTTAATCACAGCATTGTCTGCATCACTGATGAATGGCGACGACACGGGATAGATCTCAAGTTTATGGTATATTCATGAGCTCAAATACATTCCAGTTAAGATTAAGAGGCTGGGGCTGGGAAAGTGGCTCAGTGGTAGTGTTTGCCTTGCATGCATGAAGCCCTGGGTTCCATTCCTCAGTACCACAGACATAGAAAACAGCCAGATGTGGTGCTGTGGATCAGGTGGTAGAGCGCTGGCTTTGAGCAAAAGAGGCTCAGGGACAGCGCCCAGGCCCTGAGCACAAGCCCCAGGACTGGCAAAAAAAAAAAAAAAAAGAGTAAGAGGCTGGTGCTGAGGAGCTGACAGGTGCTTCTACTCCACTGAAAAGTTTAAAAAGAAAAGTACAAACCACAGGCTAGAGAAGGATCCCCACTTCCCTTCTTTGTGACTATTAAGGAGAAATCTTGGCTCCCCTCTGCTCCCCATTTTTCACCATGCTAAGTAAGTGTAACTGCCGGATGGGCTGAGCCTCCCAAGAACTCTGCGGAGGGGGAAGGGGGGCTAAGTGGAAGAGCCGCAGGAGCTGTGGAAGGGGAAAGGAGGAGGGAAAGGAGTCGCTGAGGAAATACTGTCATGGGCTTGACCAGAAGCATGTCGTGCGCGTGAGCGGCGCTGGCAACCCCGGCCCGCCCGCGGTGAGCGGCACTGGCAACCCCGGCCTGCTCGCAGACTCTAGGAAGAGGCTGAGTCAGGAGCGGTGCTGGGGTGTGTGCAGAGTGGCCACTCACAGCAAAGGAAATTTCAGGAAAGCAGTCTCTCACCTTGGTGATCTTTGGGTCATAGGTATTTGGAGGTGAGGGTGATCTTCGTCCCTCTGCGGGAGTCTGGATCTGGAACGGGCCTCACCGGCCACTGTTAGAAGCACCTGGTCCAACTGGTGCTAAGGAGCAGTGACGGTTTCTTGTGCAGCCTAGGCGGCCTTCTGGTCGTGGGGAGGTGGGGGGGGGGGTTCCCGGGAGGGGGGGTGCCCGGGAGGGGGGGTACCCAGGAGGAGGGTACCCGGGAGGGGGGGGAACTGTCTATAGTAACAGCGTGTCCATGTTCTGAGAGTCACCTTAAGATCCAAAAGGATTCTGCATCTATCACACTTTAAAAAGAATCAAACTTAATTCTTATTTAAGCTAACATGCCACATAATTTAAAGATAACCTGTGTTCAATTCCTGCCCTGCAGGAATTGGTGAGATGCAGGGGGGTGGAGCTCTGGCCATGCTAGGATTCCCATGCTTTGTGGCACTATCTCTAGGAGGAAAGCGCACCCCAAATTCTAAGAAAAAACAATTGGCAACTAACTGTTGGCACCTGACTCATTTTAGAATTGAGATGTGTCTCGAGTTCTCTCTGAACTATCTTCAGGTTGGTAAAGGGCACTCACCGTGAGCAGAATTGTGGATTTGCACACAGACCCTCTCAGGAGGTACTACTAATGATCAGAAGTTTGACGAACCCATTTCTAACCTGTTTTGTGAAAGCAATAGTATTATATTGCATCCTAAAAACCGGGAAAACCTACTGAAACTGGACGACAGAACGGTAGGAAGAGGGAGTCCTCCACGGCGAGCAGGGACGGTGCGGCCCGGGGGAGGGGTGGCGCACTCACGGAAGCTGAGGCCTCGGCCTGGGCGTGGTGAGCAGCATACTCACCCTGGAAAGCAGTGATGGCAAATCCAGGCCGAGCGGACCACCTACGTCCCTGGCTGAAGATGAGCCCAGCCCACGCGGCCCAGGGCGGCGTGCAGGCAGCGGGCAGCAGGCACCGTGCGCTCCCCACTCACCCACAGGGGATGGGAACCCAGACAGCTTCCACACTGCGCCTCCTCCCCAACACTGTTAAGAGACCTGCAGGCACCTGACCCACGTGGACGCAGCCCCTGCTTCCAGGGGGACGCGCCTGGCTGCTCCTAGCGGTTGGATCACAATGGCGTTTCTCCTACAAGTCAGAGCAGGCGGGGGCGCACTGCAGAGCACTCTGCAGCAGGAAGAGGAACCGAGGGAGGCCTGGGATGCGGCGTCAGGGGGAGGACTGGGTGGGACCTGCGAACATCAAGCACGCAGCAGCGGAAGCCAGCCACGCTGCCGGCCACGAAGGAGCGCGCGCCTGGGCGTCCCGGCAGGCTGCCATCCTTACTGCACGGCCGCGCGTGGGCACAGCCTGGCAGGGTGTCCCGGGTGGGAGGGGAGGCGGGCAGGGAGGCTGTGGGGTGCACCAGCCGGGAATGGGAGGCTGGCAACCAGCAGGATGGAGGATTCTCTCCACCTGCAGCCGCGTCCAGCCTGCGGGGTGCCCTCCTGCCTGCCAGCCTGGTGCTCCTCGCCATCTCTCCTGGTGACACCCCGCCTCTGGGGACCTGGCCCATCTGCGTGGAGAACAGGCCACACTGAGCACGTCTCTCTGCTCACCGGAAAGACTCCGGTCTGACCCCGAGGCCCCTGCTGGGCATCTGATCAAGGCCGACTCACAGGCTGGATCCCAGAACTGCGGATTCCACCACAGCCGACGCAGCCGCTGCCCGCGAAGCCTGAACACACGCAAGGGCACGCCGCGCCACTGCTCCCGGCCACGCCCTCGCACCCTTTGCCTGCACCACGCTCACGGCCGGGCCTGCTCCAGACCACAGGCCTAGCTAGCTGCACCCAGGCCCACCTCTGCTGCCGCTGGTCCTGGGAGCATGTCCCCCAGCCTCGAGAAGCTCCTCCTCCAGGAGGTGGGAGCAGCCTGGGCTCCGCCTACCTGGCATCCCTGCTCTGCTGGACGCTCCCGCGTGCAGATCTGTCCAGGCTGCCTGCGCATGTCTGGACTGGGCTGCCCCTACGCACCTGCTGGGCGAGCAGGCTGTCCACGGACGGCTGAGCTGGGAGCCCGGCTCTCCTCAGGATGGCGGCCATCTCTCTGAGAACAGCCCCTCCATGCCCAAGCGCTTCCCAGGCTCCATGGCCGAGACGGGGAGGCCAGCCGCACACACAGCTCCTCTGTCTCCGTGCCTCTCCTTCCTTCCAACTCCTACAACTATGTTCTTCCAACCTCCGCAGCGCCAGGCTGGCGGCACTCCGCCTCAACGCTGCCCTCTGCTCAAGCTCCTGAGTTCCCAGAATGTCTAGGAGCAACATCCCCAGCAGCCTGGAAGAGCTGGGGCCAGGCCTGCACACGGCACCACTGCCCGTGTACACCTGTCATCCGCACGTGCAGGCTGACACGGGAGGCACAGGACCCCACTCGGCCTGGCCATGAGTAAGACCCTGCCTCAAAAGAAGAGGCAGAAAGAGAGGCAAGCAAACCAAGAGGGAAGGGAACAGAAGAGGGGTAAAGAGGGGGCGGGAGAGGCGAAGAAAGAAGAGAGAGAACAGAGACGGGGAAGGGGCGTGGAGGAAATGGAAGGGAAAGGAGGGAAGAGAACTCTCGACAGCTCCTTCCCTGCTTGGATGAGGCTCTGAGCAGGCTCCAGGGTCACAGGTGGCCCCACGGTGCGCACCCATAGCCAGTGCCCACCCACGGTGGCGATCCACGGGAAGAGCTCTGGGGCTGGTGACAGATGCGCGCGTGGGTGAAGAGTCAGGCTGGCTCTCAGGCCCCGTCCCCCCCCCCCCCCCCGCGGGGGGCTGCACTCACCGGTAGGGCTCCATAGTGCGCATGCCGTAGAAGAGCGCCTCCTCCAGGAGGCCCAGGTGGATGCAGGCGTCCATGGCACAGTCCAGCACCTTGAGCTGGTAGATGTTGAGGTCCGGGAGCCGCTCAGAGTTGCTGCTTATGCTCGCCTGGCACAGGGCCAGAACCTGCTCCCACTCTGCGTTACCCTTCGTTAAGGACTGTCTCCACCGAGGAAAAGCTAAAGTAAAATGAGGTTCTGTGGAGGCTGACGAGCTCCTGCACGGAGGGGAGCCTGCGCCGCCGCGTGCACGCGCCCCAAAGGCACATTTAAGCGGCGGCCTGGTGAGGTAAATTCTGTTGACATCAATAAACCATCTCCATCCGGGCCTGTGCTCTGGGCTCAACCTTCCCAAAGAACGGCGCTGGCGGCACACATTCTCCTTGAGCCTGGCCATGAAGTGAAGGAGGCTGTTCATTCAACTTTTAGGACCAACGATCTTGTTCGGTTTAACGTGATTTACTCTTGTCAGCATCTGCGCCCCATGTGATGCTGGACGAGGGCGGCTCCGGAGGCTTCCACGGCACAGGAGAGGCCTCCCCTTCGTCGCCATGGTGCTGGAGTCTCGGGCACACACGCATCCAAACACACACAACCCACCGCCTGCACCCGACCAGCTGCTGCTGCACCGATTTGTATTTGTTTTTAAAAAATTATTAGGCAAAAGTGAAGCAAACCCCAATCCAAAATTATGTCTTATGAGGACAAACTGTGAACAAAGAGAAGGGCGAGGAGCCCGGAGCCCGCCCTCAGCCCCTGTGCTCTCTCTCTCTCTCTCTCTCTCTCTCTCGCTTTCTCTCTCTCTCTCTCTCTGGTGATAGTGCACCAACACATCCAGCATTCCCTCTGTTTCACCGAGGCCGTCCGTCAGAGGGCGGAGGCTGCCGCAGGAGGCGCTGGCGTCCAGCCTGTGGACTGCATGGGCACGCACACCTTCCACTCCATGGAGGCCGAGGGGAGGCTGGCTGGGAACCAGCCTCGCTCCACGCCGGCCAGGGTGGCGCGGCCCCGTCCGGATGCAACCGGGGAAGTGTCTGAACATTTCAGCTGCAGCAGCCGTGGCGTAGTCTGAGGGCGGATGATGCTGGTTCCCTCAGCCAGCTGTGTGGTCAAGGTGCTTGGACACGCTGCGGGTCGCGGTGAGTGGAATGAGGGGTGTCTGTGAGGGGTCGCGATCGCGGCAGTGCTCCGAGGGTCGTGGGGGAGGGGGAGCCCTCAGCCGTGGGTACAGAGAAGAGCGACGCGGACCCGGTGCGGGCCTCCCTGCCGCCGGGCGTTGCTGGCTGTGGAATCATGCGCTGCCTCCCACAGGCCCCGCATACCACACTGGGAGCCCCAAGCACCACAGTCCTACGGAGGCAAAGGGCTGTGTGCAGAGAACAGTCAGAGCGCGAGGAGCCTCCGTGTCCGTCAGGTGAGGTGTCCACGTGGCCGAGCGTGTCCCCAGAGGCTGCAGGGGCCGTTTCCCGGGCAGGACACTGATTCTGGAACAGACTGCCGGCTCACCTCGGTGGCTTCACCGCAGGGTTAGACCTGGCGAACGGTCCGGAGTGACTGCCGCCGCACAGCCCCAGCCACTCCCGCGGCAGACGCGCCTTACGTTAATATCGGGCTGCACTGTTACCTGTCTTTCATTTCTAGGTGCTCCCACTCTTTCGAAAGGGGTTTGAGGTGACAAGGCTTAGCACTGAAACCAGATGTGACATTCTGCAGCCAGGCACAGAACTCGTCTACCGCAACTCCCCACCAGCTGGAGAGCATGATGCCAGGCTTCCTGAACAACACTGGCACCCGTCTCTTGGCAAACCTTTCCTGCACAACACCCCAGTGAGCAAAGAAATGGAATAATGTTCACTAAGAGGCTTTTCCCCCACGCGAATGCCAATGTGTGTTTGCTCAGAATTTAGTCCCTGGCACCTGTGAAGTGCGGGCTACCAGTCACTCTGTTCCAGTCAGAGGGTGCGCTCCACCAGATGTGGGGCCAGAGACAGAGCACAGGGGTGCCAGGACAGACCCCTTTCCTCTGGGCATGCTCCGATGACCACAAGGTTAGCGGAAAAGAGAAAAGGGAGCCGGCATGCCTGGGAATCAGACCAGAGTGCTTGTTCACCTAATCCCATTATTCCCAGGCTGCAGTGTGCTCTCACCAGTGAACCCCGATCGTCTGCACACGCCGCGGCTCCCCTGCTCATGGAAGCCAGCGCTCAACACGCTCCCCTGCTCTCCTACAAACAGCTGGCACGCTTCCTCTGCACGGCATGCCTCCTGCTGACACAACTCCTCCCTCTGCGGGGCAGATTCCCCTCACCGTTAGTTAGCCTGACTCCTATCCTCCCACACTGCACAGTTGCTCCTTCCTCCTCCCCCCCTCCTCCTCCTCTCCCTCCTCCTCCTCTTCCTCCTCCTCTTCCTCTCCCTCCTCCTCCTCTCCCTCCTCCTCCTGCTCCTTCTCTCCCTCCTCCTCCTCCTCCTCTCCCTCCTCCTCCTCTCCCTCCTCCTCTCCCTCCTCCTCCTCCTCTTCCTCTCCCTCCTCCTCCTCTTCCTCTCCCTCCTCCTCTTCCTCTCCCTCCTCCTCCTCCTCTTCATTTTTTGTCAGTTGGTGGTGGGTCTTGAACTCTGGGCCTGGGTGCTGTCCCTCAGCTCTTCAGCTCAAGGTGAGCACTCTACCACTTGAGCCACAGCGCCACTTCCAGTTTTCTGGTGGTTTATTGGAGATAAGAGTCTCATGGACTTTCCTGCCCAGGCTGGCTTTGAACCGTAATCCTCAGATCTCAGCCTCCTGAGTAGGATGCTAGGGTGACAGGTGTGAGCCACCAGCACCAGTGCTATTAATCTTATTTTGTGATCTACATCTCTGCAGTCCATGATCACAACTGTTTTTCATATTCTTATTACATTTTGCTACTTATCACAGCCCAATAATTCCTTCGCATGTTCTGCTGTTAAGCTTTATGCATATTTACAGACCTGAACTTCTAGACTGAAACAGAAAATTTTATATGCGTTTTAAAGCTCAGCTACCCTTCAAACTTCCAGGAGTCTGCCGGGTTCTTGAGTCTCCAGTCTACTCTCTGCCCCCTTTCCATTCACACTCCTTTGGGGTGTACTCTCTGCCACCCTGTCCACTTTCCACACTCCTCTGGGATTGATGAGCCTGGGCCTTTGACTCTCACTACAGGTGCTGAATCCCAGGCTGACCCAGCCTGGTGTGGGGACAGTCATGGTGACAGCAACTAACTGGCTTCATTCTCTCACTGTGGCGATCGGACCCCTCCGGAGGACATCTGGTCTGCTGGTACCTAATACAACCTTCTTCACCGCTTTTCAAACTCCTTTGTGAAATCTAAGTACACACCTTATGAAAAAGCCCCCAGCGCTCTGGCACACCTGCTTAGTGGATCTAGACAGGATCCAGGTGCTCAGTTTTCTTTTATGTTCCTTGTTGACCAACTCTATATCCTCAAGTCAGACTGCCAACTAGCTCACTGGATAACAGATTTGTGAAATGATGTACTTTACCTTTAAAAGTGGAAACATCCACCTACCGACTGTCCCTGTCCCTCATAATCATCAAAAAATCCCACCCCACTGTAGATTTTCTTAATGTCTACAGTACAATTAGCTCCAGGGTCTGATGAGCACTGGCTACTGTTTTTCCATCCTGAAGTCTCTTTTGTAGCATGGCGCCTGCTGCACACTCTGCCCTCTCCTGGCAGCGGCCTCCTCGGTGTTGGCCTGTGCCGACGCTGGCCCGACTCAACACACCATCAACATGGCCAAGCACCAGGGGCCTTTCCAGAGACCTCCACCATGTGCTGCTCCCATGCTGAACTTTGACCCGCCCGTGTTCCTCACCATTTATGCTAAGAGAATTTATTGTGCGGAATTCTCTTGCTGTACGGTCAGTCTCCTGGGTCCGGGTGTCCATGTTATTAGGTCACAAGGATTCTATGCTCTTGAGAATGAAGGTGAATAGGAGAGGAAGGGAATATAGGAGTTTGTTACCATTTACACATAAAGAAACTACTGCCACCTCTCCTACTACAACTAGGCCACGTTAACTACTGGTGGCAAGGCTCTCCTGATGATCTTACAACAATCTTCCAAACAACGGGGTGGGTCCAGAGATGCAGCCTGAGGCCAGGACACCGAGGAAGACTTATGGAGAGGTCTAACCCTGCCACTGTCCTCGTTACCCCAACAGCCAGGCAATAACCAAGCAATCCCAAGAGTCCGGCCCTGCCACAGCAAGAGGATACGCCACTGGGCCTTCAGTTCCTCAATCTTCTTCAGCGATGCTCGGACTTCCTTCCACACTTGCTCATCACCGGCTAGCATGTCAGCATCCTGCGCAGGCCAAGTTGAAAGATAGGAGGGAAAAAGACAAATAACTCAATTATGCAGTGAGCAAAGGATCTGAACAGACATTTCTCCAAGGAAAACATATGAACAGCCTATGAGCACATGCGCTGGGAATACGCTCAACGTTAACCCTTGGGAAGACACAGTTCAAAACCACAGTGAGAGTTTTCCATACCCACTAGTGTACCTCGTCAACAGGAAGCAGAGAAACCAAAGTGTTCACATTCGGCTGGTGGCAACATACCATGGCACAACGACAGACTTTCCAGTCCCTCAGCCGTGTAGCCACAGGGCCACCTTGCCACCCCTGCAGCCCCAGACACAGGCCAAGAGAAACGACATCATGCTCGAAAAAAACGTGTACACTGAGTATTCATGGTTCACAATAGCCAAAAAGTGAAGACAGCCGAAACGTCCATCGACTCATGAAAGGGTAGATAGAGAGTAAAGTCCAGTGGGACATTATGCAACAGTCGCGTAAACGGAGGGCTAGTGTCTGCTACAACATGCATGAACCTAAAAAGGTAACACCAAGAGACAGTCACAGACACCCATGAGGGGGGTGAGTGGCAGGGGGTGGGGAGGGGGACGCAGGCACGGAGAAGAGCTGGCGGTGGCCCAGGCAAGGCGCAGAGATTGCCAAGGCACAGAAACGTGCTAACTCGCTGGGCTGCTGGCTACACACCTCTGTAACAGACTACCAAACCCACTTTACACGGAGCAAGCCGTGTGAAGCTTTACTGCTCAGTAAAACTGCTACGCGAAAGACAAAGGAGAGAGACCGAGGTAAAAAGTGATTCATGAGGAAGCCTTCAGATCACGCCGTGATGGAGTGTGAGGCTGCCCACCACTGCACTGCACACCCAGGCGACTAACTCTGACTTCTGCGAACATTAGAAACAAACTCTAACATTCAAAGGAAGGATTCAAAATAAACAGATGAGGAACCGTTTGTTCAGCGTGCGCTCCCGCTTAGCTCGAGGCCCCAGCTCTGTCTCTCCGGCATCGCGCCGGGCCGCACGCAGCAGCTACGCCATCAGCATGTTCACTGAGTGACTCAGACCGCGTGGCCCAGAACTGCGTCCCGCTGACCGTCACGCCGTTCCGCGTGACGTGTGGCAACACATGGGCGGGGTGGGGGGGTCAGCCGTGGGAGAAACAGAAATGGGTCTGAGTTTTGCCGGTTTGCAGCCGTTCTAAGCAACTGAGAGGAAAATGGTCTCCCTGTCCCCGTGAGGGGTCGCCTCCGCGCCCCCGAGACCATTATCAACCTGAAACCTGGGTTCAGAGGCATTGTGCGGCGTGTCCAAAACCCTGAGCGCGGATGGGAAGTTCACAGCTGCTCGGTCCCTTCCCGGTGCTGCGCGTGTCCTCCGGTCCGGCAGCCTCGGCGTGTCCCCGCTCCCCGGGGCATACTGTTCCGTGAATGAGTTGGCCAACAGTGTCAGGTGGCCATTTACATTTAAAGCACTTCAAATTAAATGCAATAAAGATCCCAGCTCCTCACGCAGGGCAGGCAGGCGGTGGACAGCACGCAGCGCAGCACTGACCCCAGGGCGTCTGCTGGCCTGGAAATGCTGCCCGACACTGCTCTCTGCTGCGTGCAGTTCCCAGGGGCCCAGTGGGGGGGGGGGGAGGAGGGGAGGCACACCCTCCTGGGGGCGGAGTCGGGGTAAAGCGAGGGGACAGACCTTCCCAGAGTGCCCAGACGCCCTTGGAGACACCAAACGGGCCTCCTGGGAATCAGAATGACAGAATGAGTCCCGTGGACCCTGTCCAAGAAAGCAGGAAAACACCAGGCCGCTGAGAACCGCAGAACCGAGATCCCAGGTCTGACATGTCACCTGAGCGTCTGTGCGCATGCACGGTACAAAAGTGAGCACCACTCACACGTGCATGGGGGGCGGGTAACGCCATGCTGTTAAGAAGCCCGACAGCGTCTCCCTCTAGATGCCACTCCCGCTCCAGGCTCTTGCGGCCTCGTGCAGTCCCGATCCACACGTCCTCTCCTGCCTTGCTGTCAGCCCCTCGGGATTCTGTGCTCCACTTCTGGGTGTCACTGCACCAGTTCAAGCCCCGGGCTCTGAGAAGAGCGTCTGACTTGTTAGTTCCGGGGAAGGCAAGACATTTGGCCCTGGAGGAGCCCAGAACCACTGGGGCTCGCATCCCTGTGACGGCCTCGGAGAAGAGGAGGAGAGGCTGTTGGCGTAAGGGGAAGGAACAGGCCAAGGAATCCCAGCAGCTTCCCATGCTGGAAGAGGTAAGCGGGAGGTAGCCCTCCCCCCTCCCCCCCCCACCCCCCCCCCGCCAAGCACCTAAAGGGGAACCAGCCCCAGGAGGCTGCCACCCCGGTCCAGGGGCCACGTGCAGGAGACGAGCACGGTGCCTTTGTCTCGGAGTCTGTGTTTGTCACCGTAACAGTCTCTGAGGTGCCTGGTGCATTCCTGGCCGCGGGGCCTTTGCACAGGCTGCCGTGTACATGGTGTGAACTGTTCTGAGCACCCATCTTCCCCATGCCTACTAGGCATGGGGTGGAGCAGTGAAAGAATCAAGGCCTTCCCAGTGCTGATGCTGAGGCGGGGGCAGAGAGAGACAGATGAGGGCTCCCAGGCTGAGCAAAACCTACCCAACAAAGACGGCGTTTGAGCAGGGGTCTGCAGGGGGCAGAGGAGAAAAGGCAGGGCAAGGGCAGCAAGTGCCGCAGAGGCAAGGCAGCAGCGGGGCCTGCGGTGCTCCAGAGTGAGCCCGGGGCTGCAGGGCGCCCGCCTGGGCACGCCAGGCCTTCCCCAGCTAAGCGTGCAACACGGGGCGCCCCGGCCTCTGAACGCTCAGCACAGAGCTGCGAGCTTGCATCAGAGAGCTGCATGCTCCCGGAAGAGCGAGGACCTGCAGTGGGTAACTCTCCGGATGTCCCTTGTATTAGCTCAGTAATTCCTCACGGCGTCTTGTGAAGCATCGGTACCTGGTGAGGCACAAGAAAGCTCAAGGAACTGTGCTGGTGGCCTTTGGCCTCGTCAGCCGGGCAGGGTTCAAGGCCAGCTCTGTCTCAGGTCGTCCTGCTACACCCTCAGTGGGTCTGAATACCCTGCCCCTTGCGGTTGCTTCAAAGTTAAAGCTTAAATCTGGGCCTTAACAAATTCAAAACATCCTAGTGTCTAAACAGTGTTAAAAGAAAAGCAAAACCCTCCAATGCAGCAGAGCCCTAGCGACGCTTCCATCAGGCAGGGTGAGACATGGCCCGGAACTGGGCCATTCCACACGGGAATTAGATTCATAACAAACTCCACCAGCAGCGAGGATAATCAGATTAGCTGTTCTCGTGGGCTGACCCCTAAGCCCTTATTCAATGAGCAGAAGAGCAGGCGGGCTTGGCGATTGCTTTCCAGTCCCAGAAGCATGGCATGGCAGTAAGAAGGCTGTGGTGGAGGGGGGGGGGGGCAGGCAAGGCTGCACTCATAGCTCAGAGCCAGCCCTGTTGCCTCTTGGCTTCCCAAGAGGTGCGTGGACCTCGTCCCTGAGTGGAACAGAGGCCATCCACATCGCCTCACGAGTCGCTCAATCAACACCGCAGACAGCTCAACTGTAAAAACAGGTACCCATGGCTCAAGAGACTCTGACCTCCACATCAGCTGGCAGCATGCTTCTTTTGGGTTTCCGAGCAGGAAGTGCACCTGCCGGGTCAGCAGTCACTAGCAAGGGCAGTCACGTTCTTCCACGGCGTGACTGTGAAGTCCAGGAGGCTGCCGAGCACTGCGGGTTCCACGCCTGGTAGCACAGAAGATGCGTCCATCCAGCTCCCGTCCAGCATCTGAGAAGCCTGATGCATAAGGGCTGGAGACCGAACATGTGCCCTGAGCTACTTTCAGATGGTTCTTATTAACAGAAAATGAAAAGGAGAAAGGCTCTTTCCTCCCCAGTGCTTCCTGTTACCCAGTTCTCACGTAAACCCCAACTAGCCTAGACTGGAGAGAGATGAATGTAGGACATGAAACGCAGGTCTGAGCATTTATACACTTTCCAGTAATTCAGTATTTCTAGTCTTCAAAAGAGGAAGAAGGGATTTTTGTGGTTTTTTCCCCTAAAGTTCAAATACAGTGTTTGCACTCAGGAGAGAGACTGGGAAGTCTCAAAATTCAAAATCACGAGGGAAATAAAGTTTAATTTGCTGTGTGTTTGACTGCAGTGTTCTGGTTGGTGGGAGTTGTGGATTAATATACAACGCCACTCCAAAACCTTTACGATGAAGCCGGGCGCTGGTGGCTCACGCCTGTAATCCTAGCTACTCAGGAGGCTGAGATCTGAGAATCGCGGTTCAAAGCCAGCCCGGGCAGGAGAGACCGTGAGACTCCTATCTCCAATAAACCACCAGAAAACCGGAAGTGGTGCTGTAGCTCAAGTGGTAGAGCGCTCGCCTTGAGCTGAAGAGCTGAGGGACAGCGCCCAGGCCCAGAGTTCAAGCCCCACGACCGACAAAAAAAAAAAAAAAAAAAAAAAAAAAACCTTTACGATGAACGGGAAACATCTCTGCTGCAACCAATTTCCATGTCTGTTGACAAAGGCAGCGGAAAGCAGTTTAGATTCCACTTGAGGGGAAAATGGCTCTTTCCTAAAGCAGAAACGCAGTGGCTAAGAATGGAGCGGTCACCCTTGTACCAACCCCCGACCATCAATGGGCATGAGGAGCATCACCGGCCAGGGTTAGGGGAGGGAGGCAAGCTTCTCAGCCCAGGCTCTGACTGCTGCACGTTCTGTTCAGCTGCTTGCGAACCCTGGTTCCACAGCCGTGCCTAGGCCACATCTTTCTGAGCCAGGCCTCTCCGAGAACCTTCCTGAAGCCCACTTTCTTCAGCGGTAGCCACCCTCAGTAGGAGCACCCCTGATGCTGCTTCTCTAGAGCCTTGGCCGTCAGCAGTCGGGGCCAGGGCCAGTGGACAACGGGCTGGCGAGAGTCAGCCTGGCTCGGTGGATGGAGGAGTCTGCATGCT